GTTTGAGTGTGTGTATGTGTGTGTGTGTGAGGAGGGGGGTGGGGGAGAAAGAGAGAGAGAGGGGGAAGGTGGGGAGAGTCAGTGAGAGAGAGGGAGGGTTAAGTTTAATAAGCTTTACTTACTTACTTACTTATTTACTTACTTACTTACTTGCTTACTTGCTTACTTACTTACGTATTAGTTACTTAACTACTTACTTACTTACTTGTCTTTGGCATTCTTAGGACCTTGCTTAAATATCTCCACTTTTTCCTTTATATGGTATTGTGATATGGGTTTTCCCCATCTGAACCAAACATCAACACGGCCAAACATTGATATTCTAAATCTTTAATTTCGTCTTCAATGAAATTATAATCTTTGACTTCCATATATGTAGTCTTTATTTTCACAAAAGCGATTCATGCATTTTAAGTATTTGGTGGATGTCATCAAGGCAGTCTGCAGTTTTGGATATAATATTGCCAAAGTGCTTAAATTTACTAATTTCTGCAAGGGGTTCTCCATAAAGAGAGAGGATGCCATTTTCGTGTTCTTAGATAACATGTAATAAATGTAAGAGTAATTATGAAGTTAAGACTAATTATTTCAGTTATTTGGTTGTGTCCTCTGGGGTAGGACTGTTTTTGGCCTCACGGAGTTGGTATAAAAAAAAACATTCATCGTAAAGTTCAAATTGTACTTGATGTTTTTGTTCAGTGTGTATCAAAGACAACGAACTTTGTGATAACGGGATCTTTTTTGTTTCAGCCAGATCTGAATGGTCCAGAAATAGAACATCTAAAGGGGGGGGGACGGAGGGGTATAGCCTTGCTTTATTAAAAGCGTTCAAGATTATCCATGGGCACATAGACCGGACCATTTTTCAGAGACCTTTCGATTTCACAGTGTGAGCTGTCCACTTCCATTTGCGTTTGTTCCATTTCTAGGTATTTGTGTTCAACAAATTTGCACTAACTGGTACAGATGTCAATGATTGCATTTGGCAAGATAGCATTATGGTCTGATAAGTAAAGCCGTCTCTTTGTATAATGAAAGTGACATATTAAATTAATGTCAGTAGGCTCCCTTAGGACGTTACTAACACAAGAAGAGATTTCTTTGGCAATCAATGGTCCTTCTCCTTGGTGCCAAACGTGACACTTCACACCTTTGGTAACAAAATTTTTAAAAATATAGACAGTTAAATTTGTCCTGTTATGACATAGTGTAGCAGATGCGTTCGACGCCGTACTAACAAATCTGCATCCAAGTCCATGTACACCAGACATATCTGGTCACATCCACTGGGTTTTGTGCAAGCGTCATGTTAGATTCTTTCTCCTACCTTGCCTACATCATATTGATGATCTTTGCCACCTACTTAGACCAACAGTTTGCTCGTTTTGAATATCTCTAAAGTCTTCTGGGACAATGTGTGACTCTCTCTCTCTCTCTCTCTCTCTCTCTCTCTGTTTCCTTTGGAACTCTCTATAAAGGCCTCTGAGGCTTTGAAGAGGGATAGTGAAGATAGATTTTGCCTCTATTCTGTCTGTGGTAACGGGAAAGCAATTTCGTCAAGTTTGTCGAAGAATTACTTATCACAGAATTGCTTGTCCTCATCTGCTCTCTGGTAATTTGACAATCGTGGAGCTCCCATATCCAAGTCATGTAAACTGTCTTTGCAACAGTCACGAATAACCACTGTGTGGGGACAGTTGCATACAAACTCATTGTTTTGCATAAAGGTAGAATGTAGGAGATTTGTTTCAAATTGAAGTGTAGAGCTGGAGTCTTGAAGCTGAGGGTTTGTTGAGGAGAGAATTTTCGGAGTGAATATGTTTATAAATTGCTTTTTTTGTGACAAATTAAGTACGAGGGTCGTTCAAAAAGTTTGTCTCCTCTTCAATAACTTCTAAACTATTCAAGATATCTTCATGAAATTTTTTCACCATTGACTTTCAATATGTATACACTCAAACCCCCCAAAAACAGAATTATACAATGTCACACCTTTATGCCATTGCTGTTTACATCAATGAAGCTAGGGTACATTGTCGCCGAGAAAATGGCGTCCAGCAAATCTATGAATGTGCACTTAAAGCAAAGAGCTGTTATTGAGTTCCTTACCGCAGAGGGAGCTGCACCCATTGATATTCATAGGCTAATGAAGCTTGTCTATGGTGAAGTACGTGTAGATGTTGTTCGAAGATGGGCAAAGGAGTTCGCTTAAACCAGCAGAGACAGATTTGCATGACCAAGCTCGATGTGGTCGTCCCAACACTGCCAGAGATGTTCAACACCAGGAGAGAGTGGATGAGATGATCCAAGCAAACCGGCGGATCAAAGTAAGAGATGTCAGTAAAATGCTAGGGCTTTCTGTAGGGAGTGCTCAGTGTATTATCCATGACTTGTTGGGTTATAGGAAAGTGTGTGCACAGTGAGTTCCCCACATGTTGTCACCCGAGCTGAAATTGAACCGAAGTCAAGTTAGTAATGAACTCCTGCCTCGTTATACCGATGAAGGTGAAGCTTTCTTACGCCGTATAGTTACAGGAGACGAGACTTGGGTATACCATTATGACCCAGAGAACAGAAGACAATCGAAAGAATACAGGCACACTGTCTCACGACCTAGCC